TGAACTGACTACCAAGTATAATAGGTATGAAGATTTATAATACTTGTATTATTACTGTTTTGAATCTAAGTGTTTTGGAAAAAATATTTATATTTGTAAAAATGTTGCCCCACCCTAAGAAAAACTGAAATGTCGCCCCTGTATCTGGGTCATTATTATCATGTAGGTCATGCTTAATAAAAATGGAATAAATAAAAATATGAATTTCAATAATAATAGTGTTTATATAATGAAGCTATATCATATGTCCTAAACTGAGATATTATATCCCTACCTACAATTATTAGACAGCTTTAGTTGTAGATGAAATAACACATTGGATATAATGTATTCCAAATTTGTGAGTTGATATATCACAGTGACACACCGAAAACGGCCAATTTTGCTGTGTAAAATCCTCCATTAGAGCAGAGGTTCTAGAAGTGGGTCCAGAAGCAAGAGCGTCAACTTCCCAAAATAATCTTTGATAATCTTGTACACTATGTTTTTAAAAAAAATGTAATTCTTTGAATTACTTGTTTTTCTTTTGATATTATGGAATTTTAACAAATTAAAAATCATTTTTGAAATATATTTTGGCGGTAATACGAGTAATAAATTGTTTTTGTCTGTAAATTCTTATATACATAATATTTTACGTGTTGTGCTAACGTATACATATTGTACATTAACTTATAATAATAATTTAAAAAAACATAAAGGATTACTAAAAAATAGTAGCCACACATTTTCATAGGCCCTAGGCACAGTGCCTATGCGCCAATACGGCCTGTACATAAGGGCCCCAGACCTCTCTGATACCTTCGCTTGTGGGGGCACTGGTATTTGGTGTCATATTGTCATGATATGGATATATAGTAGTAAACCACAAATAAAATACGTAGGCATAGAATGGGATGTACTTTGGACAACCATTGGTTACGGACATTATTATGTCCAAATAACTGAAATTCGGATTTTTTCTTGGACAACCTATACCCGCCGGAGACATCCTCAGAATAATCAAAGAATGACAGACATATTGCTTACAAGATTTTATGTAAAAAGACGGAATTCCGTCGCTTTAAATGTTAATAATAGAGTTTTTTTTAAAGAAAATTATCGGTGTACATTGAAATACTTAAACGAAAATTATTTTCAATAATATTATAAATCGTCAATATCCCATTATTTCTGTATGTATTAAATTCGCAACGGTTACAGACTATTTTTGGAGATTTATTAGGTTTCTAGTCAAAACAAACACCTTCCTTCGCCACCCCATAACCCTTCTGTTGTCCATTCGATTGGACGCCTCAGTCAGCGGTGGCTTTAAATTTTTGTTTTGTTTATAAGAAGATAAGTTATACAGAATGTACCTAACACCCAGTGACAACTGAATATTAAAAACTCATCACTACAAACAAATATTTTCGAGGGCTTAATTTCTAAACTCTACATATTATTATTTCAAAAATAATTTGTTGATTTATCTATTAAATAAAATAAAAATGCTGCGCTACCTAATAACAATATTAAACTTTTATTCAAACAAACACCAATCATTTTTGGGTACTTCTTTGCACGTTCTGTATACTATGTACAACATACATACCTACTTAAATTTTTGTGTATATAGTAGCTCAAAAGGGATGAATGGGGTTGCCTAGTAATACCAAAGAGTTACTGTAGTGTCAAATGTGTAATGTATGTATAATGTTGATAATTTGAAAACTTAAATAATTTAAAAAAGTTCCTTTTTCGGTTATCATTAGTACTAAAACTAGAATTGCCTCACCGGTGCAACAAACAGTTAACTAAACAAAATACAAAATAAAATTCACACACAACAAATTAACTTAATTTCTGGCCAAGGGTGTAGCGAAGTCATTGTTCCCAAGTCCATTCGGCCGACTGACTTAACAAAAACAAAATGTACACGCACAAGAACTAATTAGTCATTTTTTTTCCCCTTACTTTTTAATTTTCTCAATGTTCTTATGTTAAAATTTTAAAACTAATATATACGCAAAAATGGGAATACTTTTAAATGAATATATTTATAAAAAAAAATGCAATGGATACAAAAAGTGGTTAAATGTTATTTCATATTTTTTTTTAGAACCGCCATTGTTAAGACCATTTTTTAATAAATAATAATATAATTTTACTTAATACTAATAAAGAATAACAAATATACGAAGTAAAACAGGGCTGTGTATACTTTCGTACCTAAGAAGGTATATTTGGCAGGTAATTCATCCGGCGCGGCAACTTTAAAACATTAACTTCCATTTTGTACCTATACACTTAGCAATACGTACTAAAAAATATATAGATTATAGGTGATACCTACACGCATTTATAAAATAAACAAAGATAACAGTTCAATAATAGGTAAACAGTTTTCTAGAGATAATAAAATATCGTTTTTTTGGTGGTGAAAAATATACGTTCGGACTTTTTGTCTCTTTCAAAATGCCATCTGGAAATATTTTTTAAAAACAGCCTCGTTTGAGTCGTTAGCTAATAATTACTCCTTAATAATATGTCATGCTGGCAGCACAACTAACACCATTAATAATCGTATATTGTATACAAGTATTGTTAGTGTTGGCACTACTGAGAGGCGGTTTTTTTAGGGGTGGCGTTTTGTCCGGCGGCGTTTTGTCGATTTTTTATCCGGCGACGTTTTGTCGATTTTTTGTCCGGCGACGTTTTGTCGGGCGACCTTTTGTCGTGTTTCCATAATTAATACAAATAATATTAACAAGGTGGATTTAAAAGGTGTCAACCATAGACCTATATAATATTGTGGCGGCCCCACATACAGCACTGTAGCGGATGTATGGCCACGAGGCGCCACAGCTAGCGCAACCTAGCTGTCGGCATCGATACCGCCTCAACACATGGTCAGATCGCCCACCAGATCTCGGTAGTTGTGACGAACCGTAGCGAACTTCTCGCATGTGATCAAAGTCACCCAAAGCGCACATATAAATACGCACACGACAACTACCGACCAATGTCTTCGGACACCGGCCGGACAACCTTTTGCCTGCATCCGCCACAATATATTCTATAAAGATTTATAGGTCTATGGTGTCAACAATTTTCTTATCAGTTGACCTAAACAATACACCAGTTAAAATCACCACCAGGAGCGCTGTCGACCCGATGAGGGCTCAAATTGTATTATGATTTATGTACATACATCGGATTAATGAAATAACTAAATAATTAATAATCGAATATTAAATTTTGTTTCATATAAAAAAATATTTCATCCACCCGAGGTATACACAATGTTTAATCTCTAAGTATAAAATAATTCGGTCCACAAGAAAAAAGTTATCGTCTGTACTCTACAGACACAAAAAAAAACATAATTATAAAACCAATAATAATATTCTAGTTATGGATAAAATTAATGATAATGAAATAATTTCAAAAGTTGGTTGTTTGGAACACAAACATGATTTGACTAAGTACATTATTAAATTATATTTAAGCACAAGAATGATATTTGCTCGTAAAAGATACAATGAACAAGTATCACATAAAAAAAGATTTTAAAAAACGTCAAGATTAATTTAAAATAAACAAAACAACTGTAAAATAATTTTTAAATTTTACCTTATAAGCTAATACCTACTATACTAAATAATTAAATTTGTTAAATAATTGTATTATCGATAAAATTTGTCCACGTGTCAGCAGTCACACGCACGACGCCATCAATTAGTAACTGTTTTATGTCTCCTGATTTGTAGGTTTTAAGCTAATACTCTGTTTTAAATTTATCTAACTTTTTTCTTATAATCCTACACATCTTAGTAATGATTTTACAATGTGCCCAAACCTTTTCATGACCTCGTAGTTGAGTTGGACCTTTGTTTCTTGCCGTTGCTGTTGTTGTTAATATCAACAGCATCTATGATTGTTATATATTATTTGTTCTTATTATGTAATCTTTTTTTTAATAATGCATAGCAACTGATTTATGTACATACATCGGATTAATGAAATAACTAAATAATTAATAATCGAATATTAAATTTTGTTTCATATAAAAAAATATTTCATCCACCCGAGGTATACACAATGTTTAATCTCTAAGTATAAAATAATTCGGTCCACAAGAAAAAAGTTATCGTCTGTACTCTACAGACACAAAAAAAAACATAATTATAAAACCAATAATAATATTCTAGTTATGGATAAAATTAATGATAATGAAATAATTTCAAAAGTTGGTTGTTTGGAACACAAACATGATTTGACTAAGTACATTATTAAATTATATTTAAGCACAAGAATGATATTTGCTCGTAAAAGATACAATGAACAAGTATCACATAAAAAAAGATTTTAAAAAACGTCAAGATTAATTTAAAATAAACAAAACAACTGTAAAATAATTTTTAAATTTTACCTTATAAGCTAATACCTACTATACTAAATAATTAAATTTGTTAAATAATTGTATTATCGATAAAATTTGTCCACGTGTCAGCAGTCACACGCACGACGCCATCAATTAGTAACTGTTTTATGTCTCCTGATTTGTAGGTTTTAAGCTAATACTCTGTTTTAAATTTATCTAACTTTTTTCTTATAATCCTACACATCTTAGTAATGATTTTACAATGTGCCCAAACCTTTTCATGACCTCGTAGTTGAGTTGGACCTTTGTTTCTTGCCGTTGCTGTTGTTGTTAATATCAACAGCATCTATGATTGTTATATATTATTTGTTCCATTTCAAACCTCTGGATGGCATAATGCATAGTTGTGATAAGTAATTCTTTTAAGAATTTATTAGATATTAGACACCTAACACCTTATCACCTTCTGCACACATTTAAGAAATGAGTTAGTAGTATTATTTCAAAACATTGTTTCTGTAAATTTAGGAAAAATGAACTATTTTTCTATTAATTTACTCACACTAATCCCGGCACTGACAAAAATTATGCAATTACCTATTTTAGTGTTATAATAATAAACTAAAAAATGAAATCTATTATAAACAAATTTTACTGTAATTAATTTCAGTAGGTTTTACAAGCATTTGATATTAAAATGAAAACTAAATATAATATTCAAAATGAAAATATTAATAACACTAATCAACATAGACAAAATATTTTGATAACAATTTTCATATTCAATAAAAGGAAATTTATAATACAAGTTTATGTAGACATTACTTTTATTTAAATATTACACAAGACTATAGGTTTTTATAAAACATTCTTCTAATAATAATTTTTTTCCCAATATTCTTTTTCTTCCCTTTCCTTAATGACTTCTTCTAAATAAGGTTGCAAATAACGGTCATCCTATGTAAATATTAATGGGTATTTTAGTTATACTAAAAATATTATAATATTGACTAGCCTTACTTCTTCAAATTTGGTCCATTCCTCCTTGGGTAGTTGAATTTTTTGCAACTCAAGTTGCATTGCACGTATTAATCTAAATGTACGTTCATCAAATTTTTTTGTGGGAATTCTTCTTAAAGCTTCTTTAACATCTTCATTTTCTTGAAGGATATCATCATGGTGCAAACCTAATGTGATAATAAGAAATAAAATGTCAGTGTGGAAAAAAAACTACTTTAAAAGAATACAAAGCGTCCTACCATATTTGTTGAAACCAGATAGGTTATATGCCCAACGTCGAATTCCCACTAAAAATTATAATACATATATTATAAGTGGCCAACTATCTGATAATATAATAACTTATTCTTACCGTTAGACGCAATAGCTTTGAATACAGACATTTTAAATTACTAAAATGAAATTAAGAGGATTTAATAAAAAAAATAAATGAAAATCTAATCAATGTCCAATGGATCAATTTTGCAGTTTGTACTATATCTTAGATCTAATCTCATTAAAATGACCTTCGAGCTATATCATATTCAGCAGCCAGTGCTGCCATCCATAGACAAAAAAAGATAACTTTAAAGGTTAAAAAACCAGGGTGGGTAATATTTCTTCCACACATTTTTTCTTCCAATGAACATTTGTTCCAAAAATTTTGTGGTACAAAAGTTTATGGGGATAAAAGATGTGTGGAATAAAATGTTATATGTGTTATAATAATATGTTGTTTTAACAACTTGACAATTTGGAACAGATATTCTATAGGTAATAATACAGGTAGTAAAATATTAGTACTATATTATATCATAGATTAAATGTATTTAATCTATGATATAATATATTACTACTGAATACTTATTTGAAACTCATTATTAATTTTAATGAAATATCCGTCTGAAATAAAAGTTATTGAAATGTTTTGTTGTCTAGCTAACATGATAATTCTTTTGTTTTACTTGAGTGAGTGACTTGTGTTTAGGGGGAGGAAGGCAGCGAAAATTTAAAACAATTTCCATCGCCACTGATGTCAACAATATTTTTGCAATCTATAAAATTGAACTTCTTACTCTCTTACTTACGCCATGGCGCGTCACTTATAAAGTTGATACATTCATTTTATTGAATTTAATAATTTATATTTTACTTTCTAACTTGTCATTCTTTAAAAATTCAAAAACAGAAGTTTTACCCCAGAATAAAAAAAGAAGTACAATTAAGTATAAAAAATTACAAGCATCTATTACATTTTTTTTATTCTGATCACTGTACAAAACTAGAAAGACAAACAAAATGTCTATGTTTAAAATACTATTAAGTGTAATTTAGCGTAGTATTAAATAATTATAAAACAAAGAAATAGTATTTAAATGATAAATATAATATTTAATAATAAAAACAATTAAAAACTTTTGCATCAACAACAAAAATTCAGTAAAAAGACGAGAATACCAAATAGACATTATCAAAATAAATTAACAGCATTAAAATGTGTAGGTATAAAAAATCAATGGTAACGATAACTTGCAACAATTTATACCCTCATATCTTTATTACATCCTGTCTTTGCCCACTTCTAAGTATTTCCCTAACTACAAGATTTGTATTTCCCACGGTCTTATATAAGACCGTGGTATTTCCTATTATTATTATTGGTTTTTCACATGTAGACTCAACTACTTATAGTTTTGTCAATGCACAAAAAAATGTATACCTAATACACACACTCGGTCCTGCGATTAATTTGAGTCCACGAGCTCACATAACTTAGGGGAGTAATTTCCGTTATATGCTATGAATATTTTTAATCTATTATTATGACAATTTATAATTTAATGTATTTAATCTTTAGTATAGAAATTGTTTTAAAAAATTACAAAAATCGAGTGTTTTTGTCTATAAATAAATTATAATATACTTAATCTATAGACAGGACCGGTTTTGGAAGAGATGAGGAGGTGATCCCACGCTTTAATCCGAACAAATATGTTAAAATTTAAATTTAAAGCGAAATTGATTGACAAAATAATTAAATACATATCCTTGAATGCTTTACAACTTCGCATAACACAATGATAAATAATAATTAAATATGATTTATTTATTATATATTTCCATTTGGTGTATTGTCATATATATATATAAATTATTATTATTCCATGTCATTTCAATTTTTATTCCGTGGATAACCTAACAACTCTATCTATCCTTTCTAACGTTGTTCATAACGCGGCAGTATTGGCGGGGTGTGTGGGAGGCGCAGTCCATATCTTTTATGTCTATGATAATTTCAAGCATCACTGTTGTAGTTCGAGTGGCGTCACCGGTCACCTTATCTGATATCTCCTCTACATCGTGCCTACAGCGCTCAACTAATTATATACTTATCTATGGCTCAACGTTAATTAAAGTTATAATTTGTTAATTTCCGTAAACGGTTCTGCAACTGTAAACTGATAACAATGGAGCAATTGACTGACGTTTCTTTTAAGGCCGTCGATTAAATTTTAGAAATATAATTTGGAAATTGGAGTGAAGTAAAAGCATGTTACTACTTGAATCTTCATAATAATTTATGCTTCTGAGGTCATACTAGTGGGTCATATTTTTGTAACAAGAAAATGGCAACCCCCAACAATAACAATACTTCAGATGAAGAAAAAATCGACCCAACGAAAGACGTTCGATGTGGACTTGTGCGTGAAGTTGGAAGTCAAGCAATTTGGAGTTTATCTTCTTGTAAACCCGGTCAGTATTCCAAGCATTACTAATATGTTTACGGTATTTATTGATTTGCGTTGTAATGGTTTAGGTTTTGGCGTAGATCAGTTAAGAGATGATTGTATGGAAACTTATTGGCAGTCAGACGGTCAACTACCACATTTAGTTAATATTCAGTTTAGACGTAAAACAGTAGTACGTGACATATGTATTTATATTGACTACAGGTTAGATGAAAGTTACACACCTGGTCGTATATCTGTACGTGCTGGTACAAATTTTAATGACTTACAAGAAGTTGAAGTAGTTGAACTCAACGAACCTTATGGGTGGGTAAGAATTATGACTAAAGACATCAATGACATGCCATTGAAAACATATATGCTTCAAATAGCTGTTATAACAAATCATCAAAATGGACGAGACACTCACATGAGACAAATAAAAGTACATTCACCTGTTGAAAGAAGGGACCTTCTTATTGGTAATTTCAGTACAGTTGAAATGAGGCAGTATACGATAATTAAATAATTTCTCAAGTTTTTTATTTGTATATAACTTTAGTTTTTAAGACTTGTAAATAGTAAACAAAGAATTTATTATTTGATCTTCAAGTTAAAATAAAATTATGTAAAATAATTAAGTTATAATGAAGTACAGTAAAAAAAAACAATGTATTAAATATTGAAAAATCAAACTCATAGTTGTATGCAGTTCACATATTGACAGATAACTAATATAATTAGGGATAAATCTAAGGAAGTTCTGTTTTTCTGTTATTAAAAAAATGTACCAAAAAAAGCTACATCATGCGATGACTTTATGGTGTAGCATTTTTTCCATTTCCCGATTCCAAAGTCAGTATGGATACTTATAATGCATAATTCCAAATAAATCTTGTGTCCTGAAAATAATTAGATTCTCAAGTCTAAAACTGAATTGTTTTGGAAAGTAGAAAAGTTATATTTTATACCAAATATTTTTTAAAGCTAGTTTCATTTTTATTTCTACCTAAAATATGGAATTTTCTTTACACAACCTTAGTAGACAGTAAATGTACAAATAACCAAACAGGTATTAATAATCGACTCTACAACTTAGTTGGTCATGATCACTCGTCATTTTGGATTACAGAGTATTAATAAAAAGCTTTATGAAGTCTGCAAATTAAACTAAATTCAGTCACAAGTTCATTTTTGCAGATACTGGAAATTCATTTTTATATAACATTAATTTAACGATTTACTTTAATGTTACACATATTAATGTAGTTTTTAAATTTTCTAGTACTGGCCAATTTAGATTTTAGGATACTTCACTTACAACACCTTATAATTGTATGGTATAATTTCGGAAACAGCTTAATAATTATCTCATGTAATGCCATTACTGCCCACTCCTAGTAAATAGTTTTCTGATAGTTTTGCAATCCGGGACGAGTCTCTGAGGAGTGGGGGGGGGGAGGGTAACGGCTCATTTTTATGGATGGTTGCCTACCCAACTAACAGAACTGCAGACCGAGTGTCAGTTAAACTGTTGACAGTGAGCACAAACACACTTCTGCCCTAACCACTCGAAAGGTATCGTATATTATATAATATATTAATCGTATATAATAATTCTAACTCATAATTTAAATGAAACAGTCTTTATTTTTAATATATTACAAATATTGAAAAAAGAAAATTAGGACTTCTAAAGATTTAAACTACAACTAAATAGTATTTATAATAAAATATAATTATCACAGATATTTAAAAATAAATGATATAAAGTCAAATGTTACTAAAAATGTACATGTTGAATTCTGGTACCAATATGAGTATCTGTCAAACCGGATACAATTGGTGTAATAATAACATGAAACTTTAATGGTATAGGACGACCAGGCATATAATATGAGACATTAGTGTCATTTACATGTATCATTTCTTCGTCAGTCGTAAGAGAATTAATGGCTTCAAAATTCATTAAATCGTCTATTGTTATCATATTTTGGCTATTGTCAAATGATGCAACTTTTTGTACAACAGTAACAACATGGGGAATTTTATTTTGGACAGCATATACTAAAATAGCAACTCTAACATGCCGTGAAATTTTTCCAATTTCATCACTTGGCAATTTCAACTTGACAGTAGCACGAACAGTCTTAATTATAACTTCGGGTAACTCTACAGATCCACGCCATGTTATCAACAATGACTTTCCAAAACATATTCCTTTTAAGTATAATTCAATTTCCTAGTAACAAATTTATTTAATAATTATTGATATTGCAGTATTCTTTTTTTTAACAACGATACTTACCCACATAGATTCTTCATTTTGTTCTTGTTCACGATCAAAAAGATTATTAGATGTAACAATATCACGTTTAATAGACTGATAGTTTAGAATAGTTTTTGTCCGAACTCTGAACGAATTGCCCCAACGTTCACTTGTATACAACCTTGGTGTACATTCAAGCACATGGTCTCCAAAAGTAGCATTCAATTTTTTTTCTAAAATGTTTAATTTATTAATAAAAATATGTTCGCTGTTAGCAAACTATAGAGTGTGTAATGATTTGATCATGAAACATATGTTTGTCATAAATCTATTAAGAGGGCGTCGCACCGGTGATTTTCAATAGTAATAACATGTTTACGCAAACTGAAAATAACTCGCTTAATTTTGGTTTAAGAGTAAAATCACCAATTATAAAATTAAAAGAGAACAATATTCCGGAGGGAACCACGGTGCATTTAAAAAAAGAAAAATTGTTTTTTGAAAAGTTAGTCATTTAAAAATGTTAAAATAGTCGTTATTTCTAAACGATTTATTGAGCATTATACTTGGAATGAAAAAAACGCACCGTGGTGCCCTCCGGAATATTGTTCCCTTTTAATTTTATAATGGGTGCTTTTACACTAAAACCAAAATTAAGCGAGTTATTTTAAGTCTGCTTAAACATGTAGAGATGAAAAGACATTTTTAAATCGCTTTCAAGTATGCTGTGATAGTCCGAAAAATAAACTAACAACCAAAATAGAGTCCTAGTTATTGAACTAATAATTATACATCACAGTCTAACCATTAAATTAAGATTTTGTAAAAAATTGCCTGTACTTTACTCCTTAAAAATGGATGGTGCGACGCCCTCTTAAAGATTACAAATTTAAGGTATACCTATAAACTTTACAAAATCTTACTTATAAAATATTATACACATTTATATTAGAACCCGACAGAGATTGGGTTTGTGTGATAAACATGATACCTTGTAGAGATAAGGTATCATGTTTATCACACAAATAATGTTATTTACAAAATAATGTAAATTAGCATCGAGACTATATAAATTAAAAATAATTTGTATTTATTATTTTGATGCATTTATTTTTGTTTTTTTCCTTATTTTGTATCAATTGAAGAATTCATACCTAAATAGGTACTATATTTACTATGTAAAATAAAAACTTTATTATCTAATATAACAAATAAAATCGTACACCTATTATTTTGTTATATATAAGTTGCTAATTTTTTTTCTATATTATTGCCTTGTTTATTATTATTATTATTTCTATTCATCATCATGTAGCTTAACGGGCTATGAAGGCCCAACGCTGCCATCATGAGATGGTTTCTTGACGAATTCGCTTCCGGGACGGGTCGTCAATCCGTCGCCGGAGAGGGGATGGCGGTTCCTTTTTACCGGACGATTGCTCACCCAGCAAACAGAGCGCCTGTGACCGAGTGTCGAACCGGCGACAGTGAGCGCTAACACACTGCCGCCTTACCCACTCGGCCACTCCTCCTCCTATTATTTCTATTAATTTAAATATTTTCTTTAGTATAGTGAACATTAATTATTAAGTAAAACTTCTATTAAATTATTATTAATAGTTAATACTATTTGAATATTTGAATATTAACTATTTCGAAAATTTCCCATCACTAATGTTTCAAAATAATCAAAAGTTGTAATATCAGTTTAGTGAATTCTTGTTTTTGAAAATTAAGTGATTTAATTATCCAAAGTCAACGTAGTTAATAAGTTAGGTTCATTCATCAAATTTAATAATTATTTATTATTTATGTATATCCCCTAAATATTTAAAATAAATATATAATAAATAATAATATACACACTTAACATACCATACTTTACCAAAGTATACTCCATTGCTGCTGCCATCTTGTCAACAAAAAAATCTTTATTTTGTTTGACGATAGATAGCATCAAGAGCTGTGCCATTTGTCTAGGAAGTATCATTGGATACCTTATATAAGACATAACATGTTCAGTTAGAGAGCTCATATAATCATCAATTGCATCAGGATCATTACATTCAATTTGTTTTTCAGCTGATTGATAGTTCAACCAAGATGCAACACACCTAAAAATAATTAAAATAATTGCTTATTTTCTTCATAAAATAATTAATAGTTATTATACTAACCCAAAAAGTTGCATTTCGTCATGTACAACAACATCTGATTGCTGTAATAGACCTACTAAAACATCACACTGAAATGTATTGAAACATTTTGTACACGAGTCAAGATTCCACTTGATATAATTTCTACAAGCCTATATTTTTATTAAAATTAATTATTATTCTTTGTTTACATCTTCATAAAAACAGCAATACATTTTTGCCTCACTTTAAGTAGTTTATTCCATGGACTCTTTATATTCATGCATTCACTATCTTGCCAAATTTTACAATAGTATGAAGCCTAAAACCAACAATATTATTATTTTAATTATATATTATGAACTGTGTCCGTTCAATAAAAATGAAATAAAAAACTGTCCACAAAGATTGTAGCATCAAATAATAAAACTGATCTAAATTCTTCTAAGAGAAACCCTAATTATATTATATATCAAAGTACAATTCAAATTTCTCGTGGTTTTTATTCAATACTTATTAGTTTTATAAATCATCATGTATGACTTCATTATATGTTTCTGTTGGTAGTTATTGAGATTCAGAAGCTGTCATTTCGGATGATTAGTGTGTAGATGAATATTTAGCAGTTTTAAGAATACAAATAAGCAGGCTTTTCTTATTTGATATTTCTTCATAAAATTATTGGCAGGATTTATTGCCTTAAATAATTTTAATGACTAAAGTCACTTTTAAAGTATTGATCACTAAAGGATTTTTTCCAATAACTATTCATTAATGAAAATATTGTCTCCACAGTAGCATTGGATCCAGGAATTTCGAATGTAAACCCTACATCTAAAGAAAAATGGATATCAAATTTTAAATTATTTTCAAAAAATAACATTGATATTCTATGTTTTTAAAAGTTGTATTTAAATGACTAAATCTCAATACCTACCAACAGAATATATAATGAAGTCATACATGATGATTTATAAAATTATAAGTATTGAATAATAACCACGAGAAATTTGAAATGTACTTTGATATATAATATAATTAACTTATCATAGGGTCATTCCACGTGAAATTACTTAATGTGTGTGCGACTATAGTTCAAAAATGTTTGAAAATATATTATTTTGAGGTTCTTAATGACAAAAAAAAAATTTTTTTTGGGCCTAGGTGATTTGATTTTTAAAAATTGTTTTCCAAAAATACCTCATGTTCCCGACTCAGTAATTTCACCACCGATAGTGTTATCAACATGAAACCTGCACAGTTAAAATTTTAACTATATTTTGAAAAAACATTTTTTTGCAGCATTTAGCCTTAAAGGATTGTTAAGGTACATTAAGACGAGTATAAATGAACATAGTAAAAAAGCCAGTACAGTGGAGATGGGGAAGTCACGGGTCTACAGGAAGTATTATAATTTATAACTGAATGTGATAAAATCACTTTAAAATAAACGCTTTGATGCGAATCTGTGGATAAACCAGTATAGTCCAAACCAACCACAGAATAAACCAGCTCAGCAAGAAAGTATTATACATAAGTGAGTAATTAAGGGAAGTCCAGTGTGTTCACATATAAAAATACAAATATCGATAAAATCATTGTACCTAATGACAATTATGTGCTTAAAAATTAATTTTTTATATTGGGAGGGATACAATTAAGATTAATCTTCTGTCTATAAAAATGTATTACCTTAGTATCCCATATACCGTAATTAACAATATAATGAAAATGTTTTCATTATCTGTTGAGTGTCGATTATGTAATTTTTCATTTTTTGGGGGGTTTTTCCTTAATAAAAAAAGTTTGACAACAGATTATAGAGAAAATTGTATATGTTTTAGTTCCCTTATATACCTTTGGTCTAATTTTCAGACCTAAATCCCTAAAACTGCTCAAGAAGGAAAAATATGTACATTTTTTGGATGTTTTTCTAGATTTTGAAGGAGAAGGGGTTAATTTTTTTGAATTTTTGGCCCAATAAAGTATCTTATAGGTAAAAATTTCTGGTCTACTGAGTAGTTACACGAAGAAATCGGTTCAGTGGCTTACAAAATATTGTGGGTCCACAAAAAAAAAAAACCACATTGTAAATACAATACCATCTCAGCTCCACATCAAAGCTAAAAGAATATTAATACATAATTTATGTTTGACATATTTTAGTACGTCTATTTAATTTTTTAATAATTAAAGACATTATAGAAGGGGGAGGATAAAAGTGATAAATTGGTGATGGTTATAATTTTGAATAAATTGCAAACCTAAACTACAATGTAATGCAGATGGGACTTTTTTTTAGGTGGAAGTGGCCAACGTCATATTTGCAATACTACGGGGATTGAACACAGTACCTTATGTGCACCGAGTTTGACATCTTATGCAACTGGGCATCACATGTAGACATGTATTTTTAAAATACATATAAGTTGTTGTTTAAAAACATTAAAAATTTGGTTTTCAGAAATAAATACATCTAATACATACACTGATAGTAGTGGGTTGATTTAACGATAGAACGTACTGAAACCATGTGACAAGTTGACCTTGATCAGCAGCATCAGCTATATGGTCACACATATACTCTACACAGAGTGAAGTAAGATCCTATAACAAGACAATTAACAACATTGATGTATTTGTGACATTTTAACAAATATATACCTTATAAAAATATATACCTTAACATTATATTTGTCAGCTAACACTAACATTGGCATAATATTTGACTGTTCAAGTGTTATTACACCAGTATAAAAGTATTGTAAGAAAACAGGGAATACTTCAATACACTGTGGTACCTCTTGCAATTCTATGACTTCTTGATAAGAGTCACTCCATTTTGTATTCATAAGCATAGTCTGAAAAATATTAACTTATTTTTAACAATTTATCCTATAAAAGCAAGACGTGTATAAGACTATTATAGCTATTTATTACCTCAAACACATCACTGGATATGCATAACATAAAACGATGAGCAGGATATGGTATTCCTCCGACTACTAGTGTAATGTCATTTAATAATTTGTTTTCATAGACGTGTTGTATTTTTTTTAGTAAAGTATTTGAGTTATCGTTCTAAACATATAATCAGGCAATTATAAAACTAAAATCTTTCACAACAAACTTTTACTCACAATGTTTGGCATTGCATATGAATGATCCATTTCACATTCAACTGACATTCTTCGACGCTTCATACCCAAAAAAACCAAAAGAAATTGTGGAAACACGAACAATAAGTCAGTATTTTTTTTGTCTTAAGCCCTATTCATTTGTATTTAATATAAACATTAAACATCTTACGGGTCTAATTTTTAAACCACGAATACGTGATCTGAAGTCTGAACAGTAAACACCAATTGCAAATGCCTAACATTATCTTGTATAGTAATATCACGGAATAGATAAAACCCCGGGGTTAAATGGGCATTCGGTCATAGGTTCCTAAATGATAACAAGTTACTACTTTGGTTTCGACGGTCCCGCTCTACCTTGCCCATCGTGATACTTTTTTTTTTTTTTCTAGGTTATAACCAAGTTATACCAATTGACGAATACTCAATATATTGAGTTCGGGAACCTATGGCCGCTTATCGATTAAATGGCTGCCTAATGAGCAATAAAAAGTGACCACAAAATAGCTACTCTTCGGACAGGCTTTTCACTTTTGGCGCTCTTTATCAATAAACTGCTTCACAGCCATAGACCTATAAAGATAGGTCTATGTTCACAGCAGACTGTTTTATTTTTCATAATGATAATATGTAAAAATATTTTACCTCCATTAATTTAATTAAATACTATAAATTATATATAAACGTACATAGTGTAACATAACTATTTAATATAACTACTATTAAATAAGCAATTCGTTGAAAAATATTTACATGCCAACCACAATAATAATAAACAATTATTTGTACTTTGATGTATTAATTTACCAGTTATAAGTTACCCATAATGAACACATCATAATGAAAATATTTTCAAATCCCGTCAACTGTTAATTCACTCACACTTAGAAACATAAAAATTGACTACGGTCAAATTGTAATTTTTCCTTTTGTTTTGGTTTTGGTTTTTCATAAATAAAATAAGTTTGTCTACTGCTGATATTATTATAGAGGAAATGGTTTATGTTATAGCCCCATTTTAGATCTATTCGGTCAAATTTCAGACTTTAGGTCCTACAACTTAACATAAAAAAGCAAAAGAAAGAAAAAGTATCCCCCCCTTTCTAAGTAATTTATTTATTTATTTAAATTTCTTACTCCATAGTGGCAATTACAAAAGGCAATAATAGAAGGTAACAAACAGAAAATATTAACAGTGTTTAACAAAATGTGTACATAAGTATATGAAAAGAATTACAAAAAATAATTTTTAAACAATTTGAACATAGAATCATAAAATACATAAAAACCGATTATTTATTAATAATCCTCATACCTCTGTAATGAGGTGATACATAACCATAATTAGTGGAATGTTCAATGATGGGGGAACGAAAAATATTGTTTTCAATCTAGTATTGTAGCATGGTACAGCAAATTTAATAAACTGAGCAATTCTGGGGAATTTATTAGCCAATACACCAATTTATAAATAACTATAAGGCATAACGCCTATTTCTTCTGATAAATAATGATGGAAAGTAAAAGTTCAAATGACATTTAAATTAAGCCTAATAATTACATTTATTTTGGATTTGTTGAATTCTATTAATCAAGGTGACTTGTGTGCCATGTTGGGCTACATACTAGACAACCGTATTCTAATATTGACTTAACTAGAGAATAAAATATAATAATACAGTGTTCTAAAAACTATTGAATCATTAAAACTTGACTAATTTCTACAAACAAACCCTAATATATTTTTTTTGTTTGTCAACATTATTGGCTAAAAATACATTACTGTAAAAAAACAATATCTTCTCAGCTCTACAGCAAAGTTAAAATTTTTTTTTTTTTTAATTTGCATGATTTTAGACTTGAAAATCTCAGGCCTATTAAAAAAATATTCTAAGAAGAAAATGTGACTTATAAAGGGCCTTTAATTTTAAGATAACATAGGGTCTCATTAGTTGTAGCACCAGCAGTGTGTTTAAGGTATACAATATGTATAGAAGTAGAAGACCTAACAAAAAGAATAAATAATGAGTTATATACACACATAATTAATAGTTTAATGTAGAGTAATTAAATTTATTTAACATTTTTTTTTTCTATTTACAATAATATTTTGAAATAATTACATTTAAAATAAATTTAAGTATAAGTATTTTAGTGTAAGTAATACCTTAATACCAAATACTCGAGATTTAACATAACTTAATAAATAATATTTAAATAATACATTTGAACAAGCAAAATAATTAAAAACAATTAAACATGTATATTAAGCTAATTACATAACACTTTTTTTTTTTATCTTAATAAGGCAAATAAAAGACAAAACCACCAACCCTCGACTCTTTTAGGCGCTTTAAATGTCTTAAGATTGGAATAATGTTCAAAGTGGTTTTGTCTACTTTTGTTTCACTATATTTTGTTATGTCCTCAGCTGTTACAAAATATTGACCTAAAAAAATGTTAATAATATAAGTCAGATGAAGGTCAGGTCTATCTGTTTGGATAGGTCGTATCATACAGGCTAACATGGACCATAGTGTATTCATAACTATAATAGTATAATATGATTATTCCAGTATCTAGTGCCAACCAAGGGTCTGGATAAAGTTTTGGACAAAAATCGCATTTTACTCGGTATAACATATTTTAAAAACTCGGACAACTATTTTACACAAAAACTAAAGTTCTTAAAATACATTTTTTTTATTACAAAGTTATTCTTTTTGGAATTATTCCAGAAAAAACAGATTACATGACAAAGGCTGCCGTTAAAAGCTCTATGTGATCACCTATCTGAGGTCAAGAAGCAAAGGATGCTGCTCAACTTCATACGCCACTACAATGCTATATAATAAATTAACTGTTTCTATAAAAAAATTGTTTTAGCTAAAAAAGTTTATTATTTAAATTAAAAATATTATTTTAGAGATCCCATCCTATTCTTTAACCTTTAGTAACTTAAAAAGTAATTATCCAAATCTGGTTGTCGACCAGCCAAAATTTTCAGCAAATTATTCTTAACAAAATGGCTATCTTGATTTTTTTTTAAAAAATGTAACAAAAAAAATAAATTTTTTTTTTAAAAAGTAAAATAGTTAAGTGCATTAAAACTGTGGTGCTTATAGCGCAAGGGAGTATAAATTATTTTTAAAAGAAAAATCTTAAAAACATTTACTAGAACAAAAGTTATTTAATTTGTCAAATCGTTCCGGGTCCCTCTGTATAAAGACAACTGGTTACCAAAACTATGAGTGATAGCTATTATGAAGAAAGAATATATTTTGTGGTGGTTATTAATACTGAGTGTAGTTTTTTATGGATTATCCGTTATTGTGTTATAAATAATAAATATATGAAAAATAGTTAATCAATTTCCAAACCAATTTAGGGGTCGTCTGAAAATAAGGACCATCCTAATAATTAAATAAATAAAAATGTATATATATATATATATATCTATATAAAAGTATTATAATGTTTAGTAAAATTCTATACCTTGACCAACAGTACTTTGTTGAATTTTCCAATCATTATAAGCATCTAAATCTTTTTTTTTAAGTGAACTTTTTGGTTTTCGCAAAATTTCATATTTATTTTCTAAAGCTTTATTAATACTGTCAATCACAGTATTTATATTTAATGAATTTAAACGCCCTTTCATGTACCTGAACATTTCAAAATACAAAAGTATATAATAGTAGCATATTTCAATAAATATCATAACAAATATCTTACTTAGGAACAGAATTCATTTCATCATTGTCAACTAACTTTAGAAGAGGAGTGTCAAGTATTTGTTTTGAAGTGTGGAATTTAGAATGTCCCATTATGGCACTCATCATTGTATTATTAGACATTGTATTTTGATGTATAGTAGTCTCAGTAGGAGAATACATATCAGTCCATGAACTAGCTACAGGTGACATAGACATGTTGTTCATATTTACTTTAAAATCTTTCGTTCCATTTTGATTGAATAGGTGTTCTGGTTCATTAGTATGAAATGAATTCAATGGAATATTAGTAATCATATGTTCACATCTATCTACTATCATTTTTAATTCATCAACTTGCTTTTGAAAATACTATAAAGGAAAATATTTTAAAATTAATATTTAAATAAATATTTTTAATTTAATCATTTTATTTACCGTTTGACGAGCATTTTTTTCTTTGATTAACACATTCTTTAATGTACTTATTTGATCATCAAATGAAATAACTAAACTATCTAGTTTTTCGTAAGTACCTAGAATTTCTTTACCACCTTCGGGATTTTTAAGACACAACATAACATCTAAACATGTACTTAAATTGTCAACAGTACTAACCATTTTTTCAAGATCAAAATTACTCATCTTGATGATTTGTTACTTGATACTAAAATCTATAAAAAGATGACACATTATAAAAAAAAAATGAATATTTCCACATTAAAATTATTATATTATTATACAACAAAAATAATTCCGGAAACGTTTAGTTTTTAAGTTACAGCTACTTGAACTTAGAGAATTATCTTTGCGCGAGACACTCGTGCCGTCCACGCCATCATGCAGCATTGGACAACGTAAATCACAATTGAAAAATATAGTAGTTTGTGGGATTTCTTTATTTTCCATATAATAGTGTTTTTTATGGTAATTACGATTCCAAAGTCAGAATTAGACGGACTCCCTAATTCAATAGCTGCCGGCGCGACTAGGTCACCGCCCTTCATTTTTTTTCTGCTAGGCACTTGACACGGCTTCCAGAGCCTATTTCTCCAAGTTCAAGTGGCTGTAACTTCAAAACTAAGCGTTTTCGCAATTTTGTTTGTTTGCACCATCGTTTTCAGCATTAAAATACACATTGATTGGAAAAAAAATATCGAAGTTGGGGTCTGGGGTGGTCAAGTCGATTTGTTCCCAGGTGATACTAAGCATGTGAGGTTAAGCTGCGTCCGTTACTGCTTGACCCCAGTTGAGTGACCATCTAGGGTTTTAGCAGAAGCCTAAATTATGTCCTTTAGGCCATAACTCATATATCCAACCTACACAAATCTAAAACCCTAATCGAAACAAATCTACCAAGTAAGCCAAGGAGCAAAGCTGCTGAGGCTGTAAAAAAAAGTTTAGTATTATGTCCAGTTAATAACATATTTATAACCAATTGTTATTTCAATAGTTAAATAACAGAATTTATATAAATCATATTTATAAAAAAAAGTTGAAAACATGGCTTAACAAAATTGTCAATAATACTTGCAACATTATTGACAATTTATTTAATTTAAAAAATAACGGTAAAGATTATACTATATATCATATTATACAGGATCAAAATCAAGGTCATTAAGATGAAATACTTACATACAATTCTAAAGACACATAATTTCTATCCAAAAAGTCGATAAAATATAAATTGTAATATAATATTATAAATCACGTAACATTCAAAAAGAAACAAACGTATTTACATAATGAACTTGAAGTAACAGCCAACAGGTATGATTGCTTGATGAATGATAATAATAATAATCAGTAATCACTAATGAGTAATAGTAAGGATGGGCCAAATATATCGATATAACACAATATCGATATATTTTTTTGATATTTACAACTGTTAATTGTTTAAGTCTATCTTAGTCTGTGTACGGCATACCGCATAGAATTACAAAGGAATCTTTATCTTTACAGGGATATGATGTACGGTGTATATTTGGTCGAGATAGAGTGGCTCTATGTCAAATTTCGGCATATATATATATACAAATAACTTTAAATTAATATAAAGTGAGCTGCCCAATAATTCTGGTTGCCAATACAATACACTACACCGCATAATAATCAATTAAATGACATACGTTATTAAGACAAGAAAAAAATAAGTACATAAAAGTAATAAAAAAATTAAAAAAAAAAATTATGTTTTAAAGTTAAACAAAAGAAAACATATTTAATTATGATAGGTAATTAAACAATAATAAAAAACAAAAAATTAAAAATAATTCGGATTTAGGTACAATAAGTGGTAATAGATATATTTTATCTATTCTGTGATTTCGGTAGCTGTTTATATGGTGGCTTTTTGATTTTTGAAGTGTAAGTGTGTAACCTGTATAGACGAGCATAGACCTATAAAATTATAAATAAAGAATAGGTCTATGATAGCGAGGGCTACTCGGGGGGTAGGTAACGCTGCGAGTAACCCCTAGAATGCGCTACAAAGTCATCGATATGACGAATGATGATAAAGATATTGATATTGACAAATGACAAATTTGTTATTGTTTATAATAAAAATTACAACTGACAAGTAAAATAACTTTGGGATACACGAATACGTTAATACAATGCCCAAACTCCAAGTTTCAGTTCGAGTTTTTTAATACTATTAATTGCAAGTTATACTAATTTTGAATTGGTATTATATTTCATATAACGTTCGTTAAGTTTAACTAGCCATGTGGAAATGTCACAAATGTGGGAAGCCAGTATATTTTGGTAAGCTTTTGTAGTCTAATTTTTTTATTTCAACAAGTTAACAACCAACTTCCATTTAACAAAGTTTTGTGTTTAGCTGAGCGAAAACAATCTTTGGGATATGACTGGCATCCTGAATGTCTACGATGTGAAGAATGTAGTAAACGGTTGAATCCTGGACAGCATGCAGAGGTTTTAGCTGATACTTAATTTTATAATATTGACTAAATATCGAGGGTTTTTAGGCGGCATTACACCTCAGTTTTTTTAATCAAAACATTCCAGGTCTAAATGTGAGAAGATGAAACTGCGTAGTTGAGAATTTGATAGGACTGTTGGGTGTTCCTAGTTGCAAAAAAAAGTTATACATATTGCCCATGCAAAATTAAAAGCAGAATAAATGCCGCCACAATAGCAATGGTGTAACTTTCAAACACAAGAGCGCTCAAAGTTTAAACAACAAACTTGACTAATTTTATTTTTTAAAAATTATTTTATTAAAAATACTATTTTAGTACATAAAAAACAGGATCATTTTTATATAGTTATGAAAATTATTAATAAAGGATGTATAAAGAATTAAAAAAGAGTCCTTCAAGTGAAATGATTTGAAAAGCTACCAAAACAATAAAAAAATTAGGACTTGTAATTGAGGAAAAAAGTAGGTTTTATTAGGATTTCAAATCCTTAATTACCTAAATTATATACTTTATCATAAAATTATAAACCATAAAATAGTATAAGACTTGTATCTACATCATTGCTCCAACCTATAATTTATGTATAATTTTGCTTCAATGAGGAGCTGAGAGGTATTGTTTTTACAATGTTGTAATTTCGTTTTCAATCCAAAATATTTTTAAAAAGTTAAACTCATATCTTTATGTCAATAAATGTCTTGATCAAATAAATTGTACCTGAAATAAACTTAGTTAATCACCCCTTCCCCTTTTAAATCAAAAAAATTACCAAAAAATATACATATTTTCAACTTAAAATTGTAGCACGCTATAACTTTTTAAACAATTATCTAAATATTTGGAAACTTGTAATATCAATATGCGCTAACAAACCAAAAAAATAACATAAACCCCTTCACTCCAGAAAGTGTAGGAACTTTTTTTATTTCAACTTTTTTGGTAATACTTTAGGCTTGAGATTTATAGTTAGAAAAAGATACATCCACAAAGGTTCAAACCACTCTTGGCAGCATTAAATAGTATGATTTTCAGATTAATCAATATTTCTAAGTTAAAAAAGCTAAATTTGTGTTGTTTTATGATTATGAAGGAGAAAGAGTGAACTTTTTAAACTATTGGCCCATTAAAGTACCTTTTAGATACGTATCTGACCTAAAAATTGCTATACAAAGAAGTTCGTGCGCTTGATAAAAGATACCATGGGGCGTGGTGATGAACTTTTAAAATATTTTATTAACTTATTATGTATTATATATAACCACAAGTGTTTTTCAGTTTTTTCTAGATTAATTACTACAGATAAATAATTCATTATCTTTTTTTAATTTAAGAATAAAATTACTATATTTCTTAAAATAAATTTAAGGAATCAAATTACTATCTACTAATATTATTTAAGTTTAAAAATTAAACAGAATAGTATAAAATCTGATATCTTTTATTATTTATTAATTATTATTTTATAATTTATAGCATAAAGGTGTGCCATATTGTCATGTACCATGTTATGGGGTCTTATTCGGTCCTCAGTTATATGGGCATGGCACTAGAGTTGAGTCTCATACTAGCTTTGGCAGAGTTGAAAACAAATACCCATTTGGACCAAATGTTGAAAGGTGGTTAATTTATTAATAAAATCAAAGAATATTCTGAATATATCAATATTTTTTTATTATAGATCAGAGTTGGAAGAGAAACTAAAAAAATACAATAAATATTTTGAAGGACGTAGTGGGGAAATTCGGAGTCGAGAAGTAATCTAGGTACAGTTTAATTTAAAAATAATATTATTTTAATGAAATTACATGTTTACAGGTGAATGGTCGTCTAGTATTAGAAGGTGCACTAAGAATCTATTGGGCTGTTACTGATATTATTCACTTGAAAGAGGATGATGACCAAAGAATTAAGAACCGGATTCTCAAGGGCACAGATATACCATTAATGGTATAAATATTTTCTTCAAAATTATTGATACAACATAATATATTGATCTCTATTTTAGAAACTACAGGGAAAATATGTAACTGAAAACTCAAAAAACAATAACCATTATAATGGAGGTAACTTATCAAATAAATTTAATACATTGCCAAGCAGTTTAAATCACGTTGATATAAAAGATGAACTTGATGATTTGTTAAAGGTATTGATAATTAGTTTAATAATAAAAAAAATCAAATCATTTTATGCAAACATAGTAGAACTTGACCAGAACTCAACTATTGGTTAATTTTTAAATTATGAAGATTAAATATCTGAATAATATTTTAGGTGGAAAGAGAAATAGCTGATGATGATAAAGCATACAATACATTACAACACATAGATGCAAAATGCTCAGATAAAAGTGATGAGTATTCTACAAATTTTGAATCAAAATTAGAAGAGGAGTCTACTGATAAAAGTTTATTAAGGAGTCGTTCATTGGATGATGACGTTAGTGATAGTGATACAAATGAAGAAGTTCAATGTGATCATCATGATGATTTGATAAATAATGTAGTTATAAGGCGTAAATCTGGTTCAACTGCTATTAAAAGAAGGTATAGAAATTCAGATATTATTTAAAAAAGAAATATTTTTATGAAAACAGAAATACTATTTTATAGAACAGGCAGATTAAATGGTAAAAATCGGACTAAATTGAAACGCCGTTGCTCAATAAATGGCCATTTTTACAATCGCGAAACAAGTTTTTTTACCCCACCTTATGGCAGCCAAATGTCTGTATGGGTTACATCCTTGGTAACAACTCCAGAAGTTATTAATTTGATGCTTGACAAGTATAAAGTTGATGGTAAAGCAAACCAATTCTCATTATTTCTTGTTTTTGATAATGGAGGTAAATATTTGAGGTACTTATTATTATTTTTACACTTATTAATATTGTTGAAATACACATGTTTGATGTGTACAAATAATTTAGAACGCCGTAAATTACAAGATGATGAATATCCATTAGTTGTAAGACTAATACAGGGGCCCCATGAAGATGTTTCTAGATTATACTTGATGGAAAGTCGAACAACTGATGAAATTAGTTGTGATGTTGCGCAATTTTTAAATTTCAGCTTGCCAGAATGTAGAGCTATTCTAGCTGGTTATGATGCGGAAGAAGAAAAACTTATTAATGCAATAAAAGCCAAGTAATGTTTTTATTAAGAAATAAGAAGGACTATTTAAAATGTGATGTATGTTTATAAATCAGGTATGAAGAGATGAGAAGAAGGATAAAAGAACGAATGGAACAATTAAAAGTTCGACTTTGAAGATTAAATTGTATGATTCATTAAGTTAACTTTATATACTAGTAGGATTACCACATTCGACATAAATTATACTTAATGTATCATAGTTACATAACGATAAAATAAATCAAATGACAGACTTTGTTTTGCAATTTGCTGCATTTTACATAATTCCTGTTTAATACATTTTGTAGTTTGTTTTTTTGTTTACCTAATAAATTAAGTACCAAAAATACAAAGTATATAATACTCTATCATTTGATGTATTAAATAAAAAAAAAATTTCTTACAAAAATAATTTTTTTTTATAACTCAACATAATAAAAAAATGTCTCACTGTATTTTAGCTTCTTTGTAGAGCTGAGAAGGTTTAGGAGAAATCCTAAAATTGTTCTTATACACATAGGCGGAGATTGGAGGGTGCTTGGGGGGGCTTAGCACCCCCAAAATTATCAATAGCCCCCCCAATTATTTGATCACTTATCAAAGTAATAAATTCCTTAATTAATGGAGTAAAAACTAAAATTATTAATAAGAATAAATTATGAAAATTATTTTAGTTCCAAAACGGCAAAACATTATAACAATGTTTTTGATAATGTTATCATTTAATTTTAATTCAAGTGCTAAATAAAGTTATACATTTTTCAAAAAACGCAATAAATATTGATAAAATTTAAAAGGCTCTAACCCTAAATGTATATCCCAGCTTATTCAAATTATTTCAAGTCGCCTTGTCTTTGCCAATTAGTTCAGCTACATGCGAACGCAGCTTTTTAGCTATGCGCAAAATTAAGACATGGTTACCTGACATGGTTGCAAGACAGGTTTAATAATTCATCCATATTATACATAGAAAACGATTTAAATATTGATGTAGAAAAAATTATTGATATATTTGGATCTAAGAATAGGCCTTAAAATAATATGTATTTACTTAAATAATATACAAATATTATATTATAATTATAATGTTTTTTATTTATACATTTGTAATGTTATATAGTATTATATATAAATAATTTAGGAGTGTAAATCCCTTGCTGGTCATTTTAGGTAGAAAAATGCTAGCCCCCCCAAAAAATTAATGAAATCTCCGCCTATGCTTATACAGTAGTTGTAGTTTGTGAACTATCAACAAAACTAGGTAATTAGGTAATATTTATTTAACTATAAGTTCATGTTACAACGGTATAGTAAAAACGGAGCATGTTGGGAAGGTCACAGGTCTAGAGAAATTATTATAATTGAAAGTGATAAAAAAACACATTTAAGCGTATCTTGCATATACAAGCATTGGTAACAATATCCTTAAAATAGTATTTTTAGCATTAGTGTGGTTACGACTAAAGTTGGTCTGTTTACATATTTCATAATGTTTGTTGTTACTCGTACATCGTATTTACTATTTAGCAATATACTGAAAATATTTTTCAGGAACTTATTAGGTTTGTTCGCTTTGACAAAAAGTGTACACCAATGCGTTCGTTTTAAAATAGAGTAGTTGTGCACGCTGTTTGTTTTAAAAAAGTGTTGTATCTGTGTACAATAGACTATAATCTTTATAGGTCTATGCTTTATTCACACCGACACCCACAGTGGTCTGAAACGCCAATTTAGACGGCCAATAGTATCATTTTTAAAAGCATGATTAGAATTTTTTTCTCTATATCTTTATGAGGCTTCATATGACATTTCGAGACTACAAGTTGACATGGTAATGCTTAAAAGCTATTTAAAGAACATAGTTCTAAAATTTGCCTGTTTTCCGAATCTTTTTAGTTTTTTTTCTGCTTAAATAAAAGTTGTAAATATTTGTTTTTTATTTTAAAATTACGCATATTCCAGTATACACATCTTGTAGAACAAGTCATCAGCTAAATTAAAAAAAAAACACGCGTCAGATTGCGTTTGCAGCGTACATAATGAAATTACTTAGAATAATACATTATTTCTGATACGTTGATTTTATTGACTTCATCAAGAAATTTAAACCTTTATTACTTTCAATGAAACTTCATGATTCACATTGAATTATTTATTTAAATTAAATAATTTTTGAACTTTTTGACTGGTATACAGGGTGATTTTTTTATCATGGCCACTCAATTTCTCATTGAGTTTAATTAATAATTTAATTTTTTTCTTTCATAGTGTTTTTATATAATGTGATCTCATTTTTCCACAAATTATTATCTATTTTTGAATATTATTGTTATTGGAAAAACAAAAAATTGTCGAATAAAAGTCTATTACCTTAGTAAAAAAAAAATTGTTTTTACGGTGGATGAAGAGTGAAAGTGTCAAACGTTCCAAGTGCCAAAGTATAAAAATTGTACTTTATAATTTGATTTGTATTTTATTCATTACCGGAAACAATTAAGTAAATTTTTCAATTAAAGAATAGTTATTTATAAAAAAAACAACCATATTTAAAACTCAAAAATATGTTAAAGTGTTTCCGGTAATGAATAAAATACAAATCAAATTATAAAGTTAAATTTTTATACTTTGGCACTTGGAACGTTTGACACTTTCACTCTTCAGATAACTGTGGTTGTACCTAATTTTCGGTGTTGGTCATTATCATATTTTTTATCAACTCATTTTTATAATCAATTATCAGTTGATTAATCTACATAAAAAACGTTTGTTTTATAATACCACGCCTGATCACACCCCTTACACTTGACCCAGACACTACACTAATTAGTGTACACTTTTTATTCTAAACGAACAAAGCTATTGACTGTTGATTCAATGCAATCATAGGTGTTACTCAGTGTATTTTCGTCCCCCCTTTTTCTGTTTCTTTTTGATAAAATTGTATATTTTACAGCACACCAAGATAAATCTTAAGTGTTATTCAGGCTTTAGTTACTAAAAGTGCTGGAAAAAGAGAAATAAAGAAGTTTCTACCCCTTCTAGCGAAAATGAATTTTTTTTTTTTGTAGAATAATTCATACAATTTGTAATTAAATTGACTACTTAAAAAAAGTTACGGTGTAATTTTATATTTAAAAATACGTATTTATTCGTATTTATTTTTATTTTTAAAGGCAGTTGAATTTTTCAAATGTTTGGCTCAATAAAGTACCTTTTAGATATGATTTCCGATCTATATTTGTTACATGAAAAAAACGGTTCCAAGATTTAAAAGATTTCGTGGCTCCACACTAAAATAAAAAGAAAACATCATTGTAAAAACAATACCTTCTATAACTGCATCGAAGATATAAGGAAAATCATAAATATAAATGTAACAATAAAATATTTTTGGTGGCACATACTTAATATATTTTATTACAATAATTGTACCTTAAAATGGATAAAAATAATCATCTCATTTATACTATTTTAATAACAGATTTATGATATACATTAGGAAGTTTGATAATTGGAATGGTCAGTAATGATACAGTAGATTCACAATAATAAATATTTATACATATAAGTGTATATATATATATATATAGATATATATATATTTAACTTCCTGTAATATAATGTTTTTTAATTATGTAATACATAAATAAATAATAATAATAAATCCTTAAACAATATAAAATGAGTTCATTTTGTATAAGTTGCAGATTAGCCCTTATTATACTTGCATATTAATATTAATATGTAATTTGTGGGTATTCAAACTGCAATAAAATTATTGGGCGGGAAAAGAAGAAAAAAGAAAAATTTACAATATACCATATGGAGACCGGAGGGAAATATATACTTTGATTAAAATTATGAACTGCTGATCAGACAAATCACAAATATAAGTCAGATCTGTTATGTTTTTTTCATAAAAATAACCATTATGTAGCAAGTACACAATATATATATATATTGTATAAAAATACAATTGTTTGTTAGAAAACGATTACAAACAGACCAAATTAGGTCCATGCTTGCCCTTGGTTTCTGATTATCCACGCATACATTTTTATTTAAATTGTTTTAAAGAAACGTATTATACAGCTGGCCATCAATTCAGTCTGAATCATCAAGTGGTTTTAAATCGCTGAGATCTGGTGGTGAACTTAAGAATCCTCTGGCTAATGCATATTCTATCAAGGCTAAGTGACAAAACACGTACTGTTCAGAGGTCTGAATAGAGTAGGCACGCTGTGATCTGATTCGCTCCACTGTACCTTTTATATCAACAGTATTAGTCTCTTCCAGGCGATTTATGCATATGTCCAACGTGCAAAAAGTTCCTGAATAATAAAAAAAAAAGCATATACTTTAATTATTTTTATTTATTTATAAATTAATGTATAAAACTACCTGTTCTTCCGATGCCAGCTGAGCAATGCACTATAATTGGTGGCCCCCGTTGATGACCAGCCCATTTATCTCCTAGATCTTGTAACATAGATGATTGACATTTGCGCACTTTGCCGAGAAAATCCAACATTGCCACAGCACTGTGTGGTACACCAAAATCCGGCCACGAATTAAATCGAAAATGAGATACTCGTCTTACTTCATTAGTCTACAAATATGTAATGAGTAGTAATAAAAAATTATCGAAGTATATATAAAAAACAAAAAATTAATTACATTAGTATTTAAAACTTGGAGCCTTGTAACAGCATAATTATCAAACTGATTAATGGAAATGGTTGATATTTTGAAATTCTGATAAACTTGATCTTCAGACGATTCTTCCGGTGGCCAATATTGTTCACACTTAACTTTTCCACATTCAAAAACTTTTGTCGTCATTACAATTACCAATACTTGTTGTTCCCATGCCATTCGCCAGAAATCAACACATGTGTGTGGTAGAGGACCCTGAGTTGAAATGAAAGCATTTTTTTGTTTGTACCCATCCACAAAGTTAGCATGTATATAGTCAGACAGGGGATCTTTATCTGACTGGGCTAACAATACTCTTGTATGATCATAACAGAGTACATCCGTATAACGATTTTTCAGTAAATTTGGCCTTATCCTATAAACATATAATACTTCTATAAAAAAATAATGGGATCTAGGCAAAATCGTGAATATTTAAAGAGAAACAAAATTATAACAAATATATAATTTATAAGATTAAAAAAAAATTGTCTGAAGGTATGCCCATATTGTGCACTATATTAACACTTGTGTTTTCAACCTTCTTGTACCCAAATTCTCAAAATAATCTAGTACTTCAATTTTTAAACATACATTTTTGAATTTCAAATAGCAACCTAAACATTTTAAATACTTATTAATTTTACCCTAGAACGGTAATGTGTGTAAATTAAAAACGTGGTCATATTGTATTTTTTTTGGTGTTAACGATCCAAACCTTTATATATTATACAGGATGATTCTTTAAGAATAAGACGCTCATTTTCTCTTAAAATAATTGCAATTTTATATATTTTTTTTAGTTTATGGATGTTTTACAATAATAGACAGCATTCAAATTATCTTTTTTATTTCTTCCAGAGCTCTATCAACTTAAAATTTAAATGGTTACTTACATAATTCATTAACTTTTAAAATAAAGAATAATTTTCTGAACATTTTGTGTGGTTGATAAGCAGTTTTAGATAATTACTTTTAAGTTATTTAAATTGAAAATTTAGGACAGGAGGTGAAGTTCGGTAAAGCAATGCACACAGATAAAAGTAATATTTTACTACACCCTTTCTCTCGTCCTTAATTTAAAACTTGAATAACTTTATAAGTAATTCAATTTATTCAAAACTGTTTGTCGAACAGACAACATTTTAAGCAAATTATTTTTAAAGGGATTAGAAGTGGTCTGTTTTTTGAACATTTTTGAACTAAGAGTTTCACAAAATTATGCCTACTTAGGTTACTGCAATTTGAATTTTGTGGAACTAATTTTTGATTATTATTAAGATCAAAATTTATTGAAACCACTTTTTCTTTATTGTCTATATAAAACTCCTTAAAAACAGTTTGTTAGAATCTCCTTAAGAATAAGACAGCAATTTTTATACTGTCAATAACTGTAAAACACCATAACCTAGCGTCTTCAAACATAAAAACTACAAAATTGTAATTATTTGAAGAGAAAATGAGTGTCTTATTCTTAACAAATACTCTGTACTCTTATCTATTCATTGAGTTTAATGGTTAAGTGCGTTTTGTTGCATTTTACCTCCAGTTCTGTATAACATCTACAAAAACATCATGCGTAATTAATTATAAGCATCATTACTTATACATAAATATGAAATACATATTTCATATTTACTAATACGCCCCAAACAGCATGTGTTTAATTGAGGTATTCTGTATTGAATACATTTTTTAAACATTTTTAAATAAACTCAATTTACAAAACATATTTATAGATGGTTTGGTGGTGTTAAGTATTAAATAACAAAAAGTACATAAAAGGTTTGATATGCAGTTTTTTTTATTAATAGGAAAATAAATGGTACTAGGAAAAACAAATGACCATATACATTTTACATGATGTTATCTATAGATACTGTAATTAACATTACCATTCTAGGGTTAAGAATCATTTTCTAGAAAAAAGACTGATTTATTGACATCTTTGAACTAGTTATTACTAATTTTGAATATTTACTTAAATCTTTAAGAGGATAGAAAAATCTGAAAATAATTATAAAAATGTAGGTCCCAGAAATTCAACTTCGCCTGGGGTTAATAGCAGTAATACTATTCATACAAATGCTAATAACTTTAAAACTAATGGTTCCAAACTGTTTTTCAACCAAATATATAAGTTGCCTATTTAATTTACCAACTCGATTAAGGCACAAAAATAAGGTAAAATTTTGTAAATTTATAAAAAAAAGAAAATTTTTATAAAAAGTTACACAAAAGAAAATCTAGTTACGATTTTATCATTGGTCATAACCACCCATTCGCTTAAATATTTTTCACTGTGTTGTTAATACTTTTTTGCTATTTTTGCCTAGGTAAACCAAAAAATAATATAATATATCAATCAACAATAGCTAAATACCTGGCTGCAGAAAAAGTACCATCAGGTGATCTTGTTTTAATTTCTTCATATTCTTTAATGAGACCAGCTCTTTTTTTTTTTAACACATAATCAACAAATTGACTAATTGTTAAACTTTGACTAGAATCACAATGCAAACTGTCATCATCCGAAAAACCACTGCTAACTGATGAAGGTGGCATTGGAGAACTCTCTTCTAAAACATAAAATAATTGTATGATTTAACAGTAACTATGATGTATTTTAATAATGCAAATCAACATAAAAGATCTTAATCGAGTAAGTTTGGACGACTAAATATACCTCTTAAATTGACTGTATTGCATGACCAGGTTGATGACAAGTTATTTTTAACTATTGCACATTCTTCATCGACATCGTTTTCTTTTATCAAATTATTCACCTGTGTAAACAAACCAACAATGAAAATATGTATATTTGTTGGATTGATAATCATACAACTCTATGTAAAAATAAATCATAAGTGAATATGTAATGTTACAACCCATATGTTAACTTGACTTCAGTAAGCTTGTTTAATACTAGATGGCAGTTAAGAAGTATACAAGATGTGCTAACCAATTTAGAGCTAACAATAAGTTACAATGAAAAAAAATGTAATAATGTTTTGTTAACAGTAGTAACTTGTAACTGATTCATTTTTAGCTTGTTAGCTTTAAACACAGTACATGTTTAATTAATAATAATTATTAAAAATAATACATTTCAGACATTAATAACATTGCATATTTACCTTAGGGTCAGGAACAGAATCTTTTTTTGTATTATTTGAATTGCATATGTGGTCGGACATAGCCGAATTTCCATATTTATCACTGTTCGTCATAGAATTTAAGCAGTAAGCTAACCATTTATTATGTTCGATGTCAACAGTGCCACCTAAGTGTTTTGGCAATGATTCTTTAGGTATGTGTTGAATCAACTGTTAAAAAAACAAAATAAATATTAATACGTTAATATTAGCATTAAAACAAAAATTTAAAAGTACCTGTGGTAAGCTTATTGTAAAAACCCTGTCTCTTAACTTTTCCCGTACAAACAGTCTTAAAATTTTAAATGGAGCTTTAAACCATAATGGCGCTGTAACTATAAGTACCTTCTTTAGTTTTGCTGGATATCCTCCCTATAAATTAAAACTTTAATTAGTCATTAGTAATTGTACAGAAAAACAACACAGCAAAATACGATGCATTTTCACAAGTAAATAATAATTAATGGCTTGACTATTGAAATAAGTTGTAAATTGTCAATGAATATTTTCAAGTGTAAGTATTGTTTTTGCACTATGAGACCTAGAATGCTAACTGTTAAAAACAAGTAGCCTTTGCGTAAATATTTCGCTTTCTATTGGTCGCACAATAAACAATTTCAATCAAAAATTGTATAGGAGAGTTGCACATTGTAGGCCTATAGACTATAGTGCAAAAACAATAATTCGTACACGAAAAAGTCAAAAGATATTTTTTGTAGACAATTATCTCTTCTATACTTTTTGTTTGAACTTTTTTATAGTACGACCAATAAAAAGTGAGATATTCGCGAAAAGGTTGTTTTCGTGACCTCAAATAACCTTTGAAGCGCATAAAGTATCGATAAAAAATGTTCACACGTCGTTTAAAACAGCGTCATAAAGGTGTATGCCAAAATCCAGCTTGATATTGACTTTTCCTAGCTGAAATACTAATTTGTCTTGGCAAATTATCGAATTATATTAATTTAACTAGAATCTATGTAATAAATAAAGGATCGCAATTTTCGTTCTCGTAAATTGATTGATATGGGAATTTAATAAAAGTACTAACACATGGACTAGTGATAAGACCAGTTGGCTACTCTCTGATTACAATATATAAATAATTGCCTATAAGCTCTCTCAGTAAAATTATTAATAACGCGTTCATCTTATTTTTCGAGTCAGAATACAGGGTGATATTCATTTACGTTCACAAATTTTGTTCAATTCTAATTTTTTTTCAAGTTTTTAAAGGCCGGATTAAATAAAGCATCTTTTAAGTTAATAATTTTTTTCAGGGGTCAAATACTATAGAAAAGAGTGTTTCACGTGGAAACTACCAGCATAAAAAAGAAACAAATTATGACCTTAAAGGTTGATTTAAAAAAATTAATATTGACTGAGATACCGGCCCCTAAAGATGATATTTTTTAAAAATACTGATAAGACAATCCTATTACCCGTATCTTATATACGTATACCTATTTTCTATACCAGTATATTAACAGTATTTTTGAAAATATCATCTTTTGAGGTTTGTATCTCCGTTTATAATATTTTTTTCAAATCAACCTTAAGCGTAAGATCATAATTTGTTCCTTTTTATGCTCATCATTTTGATGCGGATCACTTTTTTATAGAGTGTAAAATACTAAAAAATTATACCACATACAACAATATTATAAAACAGGTAACAATTATTTCAACTAAAATTAAGTGTTTGAAATTAAACAATGTAATATTTAAGCAGTAAATCGTAGACGATAAATCTAATTAAGTTACATACCAAAATTAAAAAAAAAAATGTAATTTTGTTTTATTTACTACAATGTTATCCGGGGTTAAATACACAGCATTAGCGAGTTGAAAAAATGAAGTTATCAGAATTCAAATTAACTTGATAACTGTTTTACACACACATACATACCATACTTAATAATCGTATTGAAAATAAATTTCATTAGTCTTAAATCAACCACAAAATTAAATCGTGAGAAATGGTACAAAACTATTGTTTTCGAATTACCTTAAGTTAAGTTAGTAATATTAGGTTCAACTAAAAAAATAGTTATCATTAAACAGCCCTCAGGAAAAAGGTTGTAGTGTCTAAATTTAAACAACATTAAAATAATAGAGGGGACGTAACTGACGGGCATTATCATGCCGACCACGCTTTATTTAACATTGCATGCGCCAATAAATTATGTTCAAGTTACACACTTGAAAGTTGGACGTTTCAGGCCACACCAAGGTCGAATGAAAATCAATCCTCATGTGAACTTAATGCTATTGTTGTTCACAATGATAACTACCTGTAGGTTTTTATAACTTTATTTAATTATTTATCTCAAAATAATTATTAAATAGCCTTACGTCTTACATGACCTATTGACGTGTTCCATGTTTGAGAATTAGGAAGAATTTTTTAAAAGTAGGTTACATTAATACGTGGTATCATATTTCTATAGCTATAGAATTTATATAGTTGAAATAGTAAACACAACTAATAATAATATTATATTAATATTAATGTAAAGCAATAATATTATATTAATATTAATGTAAAGCCTGTGCAATTCATACAATATAAAACCGCAAAGAAAAATATAGTTGAGATAATTTTATTATTCAAAGGATTGGAAAAATATATACTTTTGTAAAACTGTTTAAATTATTCATATCTGGTTTGACAAAATGTATTCAAGTTGAAAAAATTTTATTTTTACTTAAAAATGTAATACTCACATTTTTTAGTAAAGTTAATAATAATACACTTATTCTTGAGTATCCACCCACATAAACAGTCAGAGGCAAACTGGAATAAAATATCGGCCTGGGCGATTATACAATTAGGCCCACTATTTATATAAAAATAGGCGTCATTGGTAATTAAGAAAAATACATCTCCCGAGCTCAAGAGCCCCAATATCTAGCCTAACCCAACCGCCACTGCTATAACCCGTCTAGTACATCTTGAGCCGAGCGCCATAACGTTTACAGTTCCGGTATATATTATAAATACAATCGCACATTGTACTCATGATCCCGCTGTAAAATATACAGGGTGTAATGTAAAGTTCTACCGAGCTTCAAATGAGACATTCAGGATGCTTTTTGGGTACAAAAAATGGTGTTCATTTTTTTTAACTTTAAAATTATTTAAAATAGAACTAGAATCTCATTCAAAAATTTTCTAACGAAAAAAATAATTTCAGATTTGAAATCAGGAGAAAAAATCTTGTTGAACTGATATGTAACATGATTTTTTCGTATTAGGCCACACATACGTCCACAGGGTGGCCATCGAGTGGTCATTGAGTGAAAATTTAAAAAAAAACACGCCACTAAAAAGCCAAATTGCTATTGAATTTGTTGAAATCCGAAAGAAATTTATGGTCACACGGCTTTTTATTGTAAAATAATATTTAATATTTATAAGATTTCCAAGTGGCTTAAATAACGTTTTTTGTAAAAATCCTAATTTTCGGATTCCAATCACTATTAAAGGCGTGTATCTAATTTTATTCTTCTACATTTAAACAGAATAGGAAAGGGGCCCTTTTAGTTTATCGCATTGAGGCCAAATTTTTATAATTACGCCACTGATGTAATCACTATCAAGAAATACGCTTTAACGTGCATAATTGGGTAGTAGGTACTAATAAGAAAATAAACTAAAAGAGCCATAGAACAATAAGAAAGTGTAATTTTATAATTAGGTAAATAAATTTATGTTGTATATTGTAGTACAAAGAGCCAGTACAGTGAGGTCGGGGCAAAGCGGGGATTTTAAATGAAGCATACTGGAAAAGGGAAGGTCACAAGACATTTTATGAACTGTAACAATTGAAAGTGATAAAATAATTTCGTATAAATGTTTTATGCGAATCTGTAATGGTAGAAATATAAATATCGATTACAAGTATTGTAAGGGGTCCATGCGTAGCTGAGAAGGTTTTTACAATATTTTTTTTTTATTATTATTTATTTTGTGTCTGTACCCACGATATCTATTCTAAACCGCTAAATCAATTTCTTCATACATGTAGCAGCTATATAGATCAAAAATCGTACTTTTAAGGTACTTTTTTGAGCCAAAAGTTAAAAAGTTCACTCATTCTCCTTCAAAATCGTAAAAATACCCAAAAAATTAACATACTTTTTAACTTTAAATTACGGCGCTCTTTAACTTTTTGAAAGTTTCGAATTAGTTATAAATTTGTATGGAAATTTCTTCAGACTTATTACTACCTATAAATGTTTTTTTAATGTGTAGTTTTAGGGCATAAGGTCTGAAAATTAGAATGAAATTATATCATATAAAATGTTTCTCAATAATCTGTAGTCAAACTTATTTTGTATTAAGAGGATGTCATACACCCAATGTTCGAACGTTAAAACATACCTACGCAGAATGCGTTTTACTCACTCCGTGATGATTTTAGAGTGAGAATACCTATAACAAAAAACCCAAACATGAAAACATTATACTTTGACCGTAGTCAATTTCTAGATTGCAATTTGAATTAACTGTCAAGAGGTATCCAAAGAATATTTGCATTAAGTTGTTATTTACGACATATAGGTAACGGCGGCAGCAAGTTGTCATAGACCAATCGTTAAAAAAAATTTACAGAGTGTAACGTAAAGTTATACCGAGCTTCAAATGAGACATTTAGGATGCTTTATAGGTACAATAATGGTATTCATTTTTTTTAAATTTAAAAATTATTTAAAATAGAACTCCATTTATTGTACCCATATAGCATCCTGAATATCACATTTGAAGCTCGGTAGAACTTTACATTACACCTGTATATATACTCATCGAAGCGTTTATTTGAAAGTGAAAAGTTTTATTTTATTAACTTCAGTTAAAAAAAATCATATAGACCTCTCCCGTTTTATTATGTCCCGTCTCCCCTATGCTCCAACTCTCCTGAACTGGCTTTTTTTTTAATAAAAAAAATAGTTTGACTAGAGATTTTTGAGAAAATTATATGTTATAGCCTTATTATAAATCTACTTTCGATCTAATTTTCAGACTCTGTCTTAAAACTTCACCTAAAAAAGCGAAATGAAGAAAAAGTTTCCATCATTTCTAAGCTTAAGGGTTTATGATATGTTTTTGGTTTGTCAACATTTTTCGGTAGTAATATGTCTGATGAACAACATTCCATACAAATTTAAAACTAACTCAACTATTTTTTTTTTAAAAATGTATAGAGCACTGTAATTTTAAGTTGAAAAACATTTAAATTATTTACTGTTTTGAAAGGGAAGGGGATGTATTTTTAAAAGTTTTGACATAATAAAGTACGATTTCTGATCAATAGACTTGCTACATGAATAAATCGTTTATCGTTTCAGGGGCTTAACAAGTATCGTGG